AGAAACAGAAACTCATACACTGTTAGTCAGGATGTAAAATGGTGTAGTCACTTTGGAAAACAGTTAGGTGTTCCTCAAACTGTTAAGTATATTTGCCATATGATGCAGAAGTTCCACTTTTAGATATACACCCAAAAGAAATGAAGAACATACATCCACTCGAAAACTTGTACAAAATTGTTTATGGTAGTAATATCCATAATAGCCAAAAAGTGGAAACAACTCAAATGTCCATCAATTGATGAATGAATAAACAAAATATGGTATATATATATAATATGTTATTCAGCAATGAAAAGAAATGGAGTACTGGTACTATAACATAGATGAACATTGAAAACAGTAGGCTAAGTGAAAGAAGGCAGTCACAAAGGACCACATATTGTATGGTCCCATTCATATGAAATGTCAAATATGCAAGTCTATAGAGACAAACTAGATCAGTGGATGACTAGGATGGGAGCTGGGGGAGAGTGGAGAGTGTCTGCTTATAGGTATGGAGTTTCTTTTTGTTGTGAGAAGATTCTAAGCAGATTGTGGTAATGGTTGCCCAACTCTGAATATAGTCAAACCCACTGAACTGTATAGTTTTAAGTGGGTGAATTTTATAGTATGTTAATTATATCTCAATAATACCATTAAAATTATCAACTAGTAAAAGTTGGTTAACTATTAGAAGGGGAAAGTTGGATATTAAGGAATGCAGAGATGACAAGTGAGAATAAGCAAGGAAGAAACTAAGCACTTAGGATAGGGCTCACTAACCCCTAGTCTGAGATTCAGGCCTTGTTGAAGAGGTTGTAGCTGCCACAGGGACATTCAGGCTGCTGATAGTGAAGAAATTTTCTAGAAGGTGCAGACCTGGCTGAGCCGGTTTGTGGGAATAGTCAATTCAGTGGCTGTGAAACTCATTGGAGGGTGCTGGTCAGCTAGAGCCGGTCTACTCCTGCTAAGAGTTAAAGAAACTCACTGGAAGGTGCTGGCAGCCTTGAGCTGGTCCACAGGAAGTTTCCTCACCGAGTGGCAGACAAACTCATAGAGGGTGTGGCCAAGCTAGAGCCTACTGGGTGGCTGAGAGAAATTCATTGGTGAGAACTGGTGGGATAAAGCCAGTTAGCAGAACCTGGCCTGGGGGTGCTGCAGAAAAGCTCAGTGGAAGACGCCACAGCCCAGAACTGGTCTGCAAAAAGTGACCTGCTAGGTGGCTGAGAAACTCAGAGGAGAGTGATTGTCACTGGGCTTCCCTAATCCACTGATAGGGAAAAAGCACACTGGAAGCAGAAAGGGATATATAGGTGTATATATATATATATATATATAAAGCAGCACCCTTATTGGCCCATACTCTGCCTCAATTGATGCCATATTCTGTTAGCCTTATCCACAATTCTGTGAGCCCCCTTGATTGGTATCCTAATCTTGTTATGATAATTGAGACCCCCCCTGGCTTCTGATATGTAAGTGCTGCTATCAATGTCCCAGGGTTTAGACTATTAGCCCTAGCTACCATTAGCCCTGGCCAGCAGAACAGGGCTACCAGTGAACTTCTTAGTGATATTTGCTCCTTTCTTACCAGTGCATTTCTAATGGCCTTGGTGATCACACTTGTCCTTTGGGACATAATTCTCTGGTGGGCCTTCTGCCCTCACATAATATATCCACTCCAGCATGCTCAGTTCCCTGACCCTTTTAATTCTCTCCTCTACTATCTGCCGTAGCAATTCAGGCATTTCACCCTCAATCAGTGAAGGTCATCACTTTTTCTAGTCTTTCAGGAGTCACTCAATGAGTTTGCATCATCTCCTAGGGTCATTGCCAGAGTATTAAATTATGTATCCTGAGAAGCACCCTTAAGTTAATAAATTATTCCTTATCCAATCTTATATTCTGGCTTCTTTGCTCAAGTATTCTCAAAATCTAGTTCCATGGTACTCCCTCAGCTCCTGCCAGTACATGGTGCCTAATTCTTCAATCTCTTTTAGGATGTATTCTTTCCTCCCTCAGCAGGCCTAGTACATTTATAGCTGATTTAAGCTGCAACTTAACTTTAGTTATTGGCCTAGCAGCCAGGACAGAAGGTAGGGGCATATCCTGAGGGGTATTTCTGTTGCCTTGCAAGGGAGAGGCCTCTGCAGTGTCTTCCCACGCAGGCAGAATGCTATTTCTTAATGACAGGGGTTAACTCTGCAGACTTTGAGGGTTCAGAGGAGTCTGGGAAGCCAAATAATTGGTGGCATTCACCATTAATGATGGTTTTACCACCATTCATCCCCAGATGTTCTCATCCCATCTGTCAGGGTCTCAGGTTTTTTGAACTAGGACTCTGACCTTGGTATGACAGACCTGTCTTGGTTTAGCATTAAATTATCTTTGCAGGGAATTCCCTGGAGGTCCAGTGGTTAGGACTCAGTGCTTTCACTGCTGTGGGCCTGGGTTTGATCCCTGGTCAGGGAACTAAGATCCCACAAGCCATGCAGCGTGGCCAAAAAAAAAAAAAATTAGTTTTGCAGTTCAGCAACTGTATTAAATCCTGAGTTTGATCTTCAGCTTTTTCTTCTCTCCCACTATAGGAGATTAGCAATTGGGTCACCACTTTGTACCAGGGATGGTTCATGTCTCAAATACCCCAAGGATGGAGTCCTTATTGTCAACTGGGTGGTGAGTAATCTGGTTCAAAGATGCCATCTTAATGCCTACTTTCTTTTTTTTTTTTTTTTTTCTGCTGTACGTGGGCTTCTCACTGTTGTGGCCTCTCCCATTGCGGAGCACAGGCTCCGGACGCGCAGGCCTAGCAGCCATGGCTCACAGGCCCAGCCGCTCTGCGGCATGTGGGATCTTCCCGGGTCGGGGCACGAACCCGTGTCCCCTGCATCGGCAGGCGGACTCTCAACCACTGCGCCACCAGGGAAGCCCTATGCCTACTTTCTTGAAACTACTCCTGGTACTAAATCTGTCATTTGGGTCTTCTGGGGAGAAGATGCTGAGTTGTAATTAGGAGTACAAGAGGTTTATTGGACAGTAATGCCCGGGGGATGGAGCAAGATTGAGTAAGAAAAGCTTTCACACCATAATGCAGATCTGATACTGGTGAAAGAAAAGGTTGGTGAGTGGAAGCAGAATTAGGTACAGAAAGCCTCAGACTTCCATGCACCACTGACAAAGTCAGCCAACTCAATGGATACTTTAGGTTAAAGACTATCCATTAGTTAGAGGAATTCCATGTTGGGCAGAATTAGCCAGACTGAGGGCTGCTTAGGAAGAGCATAGGCTTGGCTCAAAACCCAAGGCAGATTCTGAAGGCATTAACAGCTAAAGGCTGTCAGCTAATTGCACTCCTACAGCTGAGCACCAAATTTTTTCCTGATGGGAGATCCAAACAGTGCACCTCCATGGCTGCCATACGATGGGGCAATATCAAGTCGTGTGACATTCCTGTAACTGGAGTCCCTGAAGGGGAGGAGAAGAAGGATAACAGAAAAAATATTTGAAGAAAAAATAATAATTGAAACTTTTCCCCTAAATTTGGTGAAAACTATAAATACAAAGATCCAAGAAGCAACATGAAGCTCAAGCAGAAAAAAGAAAACCATACCAGACACATTATAATCACATTTTCATTATCACAGGTGATAAGGAGAAAAATTTTATTGCAGCCAGAGAAAAAAAGCACACATTATGTACTGAGAATCAAAGATAAGAATTACTGCAGACTTGTCATCAGAAACGCTACAGGCCAGAAGAGTGGAATGATATCTTTAAGGTACCGAAGTCATCCTAGAATTCTTTCTCTAGCAAAATTACCCTTCAAAAATGAAGATAAAACAAAATTTCACAAAAGAGAAGTCTAAGATATGTCATCACCAGTAAAATTGCTCTACCTTAAATGTTAAGAGAAATTCTTCATGTGGAAGGAAAATGATACCAGGTGGATATTAGATCTATACAAAGGAATTAAGAGCGCTGGAAATGGTGAGTAAACAAATAAATATAAAAGTGAAAGGGGGGTATTATGACATTTAAGAATACAGTTATTTTATTTTTTTATTTTTTTTTATTTTTTTGGCGGTACGTGGGCCTCTCACTGTTGTGGCCTCTCCCGCTGCGGAGCACAGGCTCCGGACGCGCAGGCTCAGCAGCCATGGCTCACAGGCCCAGCCGCTCCACGGCATGTGGGATCCTCCCGGACCGGGGCACGAACCCGTGTCCCCTGCATCGGCAGGCGGACTCTCAACCACTGCGCCACCAGGGAAGCCCCAATACAGTTATTTTTATAAGTGAGTTTGTGAGTTCATAACCTTCTAGAATTTCAAAATCCTTTCAGATTGCTGTCTTACTCAGTGATCAAGTGCATTCCTCATTTAATTATTAGATTTATCTTAATTAGCTGCTTCATTATTTCAGTGCTGTCTAAAGTACACAGTAGGATAAAAAGCTTTCATATGACAGAGTATAATACGTTACTGGGACAACCTAAGACCTTGGATGTGGCTGCTTACAATGGTATCTCTTTTGTTCCTGAGTGTTCATCAATGTCTGCTCTTCTGCCCCTGTTCTGTGGGCTGTTTCCCTAGGCTTTTAATCTAGTTTTGCTCTCATCCCACTCTGAACCTCATATCAAGTTTAGGGTCCATTTAATAGACATGCAGATCAAAGAGGGTATAATTATATTTAATAAGCTAAGCTAACAACATAATCATGGATAAGAAAGTTCATATCTGTATACATCTCCCATGGTTGGGAGCTCACAAAAAGGAACCATTACATCCCCCTTATTTGTATTTATAAATATCATATATTATCTATATTTTATTTTCTACACATTAAAATTTTAACCAAGGCAATTGTCAAGCACTGACAGTAGGCGTCCTTGTTACACTGGGGCACTAGGACCATTGTGGTGGTCTAAATTTTCAGCAGCTTTGTTTTATCCAAGAGTATCATTTTCTTTTTCTGGAAGTAGCATGTTATTTTCTTACATGACTGAAAATACTTTACACCTGTTTTTTTAAATAAAGACATTTATTTGGAGAATATTAGTAGCATATTCTCAGCCTCACCAGATATTAACAGTTCATCAAGTCAGGCAACAGAACATGTCCATGTGAGCTTCTTATAAGGAAGTCGACGACCACTCAACAGCTTCCTCATCTTCTATTTTATTACTGGACGATTCATAATCCAAAATATGAAGTTTTTGGACTTTTTCCTCAAAAGTAGAAGTAGGTAAAATATCTGAAGCAATGATGTTGACTTCCTTTAAAATTTTTTTTTAATTTATGAAACTTTAACTGCATATTTCAGTCTTGTGGAATCTTTTGTGTTATTCTGACTGTCAATAAGAACCAGGGGACTGTGTTGATGATTCTTGATGATTTCAGCAACACTTCCAAAGTACTAGAACAAGAAAACATAGATGAATTATAAATTGGCATTTATATTAACAGTGAGCTCCACTCCTCCCATCTTCTCCAACTCTTTCAAGTTAGTCAGAGTTACTAGGTCCCAGATGACATTCTATCCAAAAAAGTCTAATTTAACAATGGCTGTAACCTTTGAGGTGGCAGACCCTGGCCATTCAATGAGACTGAAAATGCAACTGACATCCTCAATTAGTATAACTTCTTAGAGAAAATTACTTTATTGAGTTATGATGTAATATTTTAATATTTTGGTTTTTATTTAGTGCCAAGTGTAAAACTGTCATACATTGAATTTCTCTACATTTTTATAAAACATAGATTATCTGTTATGTTGCATGTGTTAGATACAAGGACTGATGTAGTAAATTAACGTTAGAATTTAATGTGAAGAGAGTTATTTCCCAGGTTAATTCATGTTTGTTTTTGTGTTCTTTTTTATGAATAAATAAGGAAACCTTTATAAACCCTCATATACTCATTTTTGCTTTAGCTCCCATTAAGTTTAGAGCTAAATTAGTGCCTAGGTAATAATTTCATGCTAGGCTCTTACTATACATACATGTTTTTCCATATATTAATTCCTATTGTCTATTGGTTTTAGTTTAAGGCTATCACAATTTTTTTCTGAAAAATGATCAATGTTTTAAATGAAAGATAAAATAAGTATAACACAGACCAAGAAATGAAATGCATTGATTATACAAAAGTGCTACAAGCTCACGATCATCAGATAAATGCATTTAGAGTCATTTTTTTAAAGGGGTAATTGTTTTGCAACACTGCCATATAATTTAGCAATTACCACCAATTGACTTCATTTTCTCTTAGTTTTTCATATAAAGATAAACATCTGGAATAAAAAATGTTTAAAAGCCTTTATTAATTATTTGAATAGCTTCCAAATATTATATATTAAATAAGTAAAGTATTCAGAATACTAGTCATTTTTCAAATGAAACACCAGTTGTCTTTTAGATAATTGGCTTCTGAATATTAGGTCAGGGAGGAGAGACAGAGACTTTCAAGTACCTTTAGTCCTTATTTCTTACTTTCTCTTCAATCATTCAGCCCTCCTGTACTTGCCAATGAATTGCTTTTATGATATTCATAAAGACATTCATTCTGTTTGTTTGGCACAGCATATTGTTAAACTGAATGCAGTTGGAAGGTAAATTTATGGACTAACACACCAGGAAATGAAATAGTACAACCTCTTTGAAGTGAATTCCAAGTGAAAAAGTGTGTTCTGAACCCAGTAAATATAGGAGAGAGTTGCTTTGCTTATACAAATAAGCATCTCATTCTGTTCTTATACTCTTCTGAATATTTCTGAGGATTGCTTTGTTGCAGAGTTTGGGGATTAAAATGTTTGAAGTAGGGGGTTGAGCTGAGTTGAAATGTTTGAAGTAGGGACTGGACTTGAGGCATATTTGTGATTTGACTGAATGAAGGATTGAGCATAACTTAGTTGCAGTTTCCCCTTAACACTTTTTTTTTGGTCTACACTAATTCAGTGTATTTGAGATATTCATACATGGACAGAAAAACAATTGTTTGATAACTCAAAATCCCATGGTCAATAAAATAAAGCAAACAGATCTCAGAGCGATAAAATACTCAATATGTATCCACATAATGTCAAAACATTTGCAAAAAAAGTTAAACAGTTAATCAGCTAGTTACTTTTTCTACCCATGAATACCCAAACACAAATACAGACAAACAGACTTTTCCAGATCTCCACATGGTTGACATCATGTAACCAAAGTTTTCATTTTTCAATTCAGATGTTCAGTATATGGGAGAAATTATCTTTTTATTATAGATAGTTTAAGTAAGTGTTTTAAAGGACTCTGTCAGTACTTCCAGATGCTATTATAATAATATGTATTTATTTTGGTATCCATAGGCTGGATAATTGGGGAGTGAGGTGAAGCTCTGATCTATTCATTCTGAGGTAGGGTTGAAGATTCTTTAAGCCAAGAAGAACCACTGTTTATCAGAGTTTCCTAGCACGACAAGGAAGTCCAGAGCCCCTCTGAGAGCTCAAAATTTATCTGAGTGAATTTCAGTACCACTAAAAAGGACAGCGCCCTCACCTACCCTTAAGCCTCTTACAGAAGTACTGGACCCCTGGGGAGGCTTTTTAAAAAAAATTTATTATTATTTATTTATTTATTTGGCTGCATTGAGTCTTTCGTTGCTGCGCGTGGGCTTTCTCTAGTTGCAGCGAGCGGGGGCTACTCTTCATTGCGATGCACTGGCTTCTCATTGCAGTGGCTTCTCTTGTTGTGGAGCACGGGCTCTAGGTGCATGGGCTTCAGTAGTTGTGCTCGTGGGCTCTAGAGCACAGGCTCAGTAGTTGTGGTGCACAGGCTTAGCTGCTCCGCGGCATGTGGGATCTTCCCAGACCAGGGCTCAAACCCATGTCCCCTGCATTGGCAGGCGGATTCTTAACCACTGCGCCACCAGGGAAGTCCCTGGGGAGGCTTTAGAATGTAACCATCCATCCAAAGTCACTCTGTCCTACTAGGATCACCACCATATCCCACTACTGATTACTGTTGAGGAGCATATAGTTTAAAAAACTTGTCATATCAAGGTTTCAGTGAGAATGAAGGTTTTTGTGAGTAGGGAGAAGCAGACAGTTCTGTTAAAGTTTAACTGGTGTGAAATGATAATGCAATCTATATTTTAAAACCCATTTGGTCTTGACCAGTGTTTTGTGTTTTCAGAGTTTTGCATTTTCTAACTATCTGAGACTTTATTAAAAGCAAAATAAAACTCCAAACTATAAAACTCCTCGAAGAAAACAGGGAGAAAGCTTCATGAGGCTGCATTTGGCAATGATTTCTTGGATGTTACACCAAAAGCACAGGCAACAAAACAAAAAATAGACAAATAGGACTACATTAAACTATACTACAAAGTTATAAGAGTTCTTTACATATTCTGGATATTAACCTCTTATCAGACACATAATTTGCAAATATTTTCTCCTGTTTCATAGGTTGCCTTTTTACTCTGTTGATTTTGACCTTTGATGAACAGAAAATTTTAGACCATTTTATTATACCATATACAAAAAAAATAGACTCAAAATGAATTAAAGATTTAAATGTAAGACCTGAAACCATAGAACTCCCAGAAGAAAACATAAGCAGTATGCTCTTTGACACTGGTCTTAGCAATATTTTTTGGACATGTCTCCTCAAGCAAGGGTGACAAAAGCACAAATAAACAAATGGGACTACACCAAACTAAAAAGATTTTGCATAACAAAGGAAACCATCAACAAAAGAAAAAGGCAACCTACTGAATGAGAGAAGATATTTGCAAATAATATGTCTGATGAGGGGATAATATCCAAAATATATAAAGAACTCATGTAACTCAGTATCAAACAAACAAATAAGCAATCTAATTAAAAAATGGGCAGAGGACCTGAGTAGACATTTTTCTGAAGAAGACATGCAGATGTCCAACAGGCACATGAAATGATGCTCAACATCACTAATCATCAGGAAAATGAAAATCAGAACCACAATGAGATATCACATCACACCTGTGAGAATGGCTATTATCAAAAAGACAAGAAACAACATGCTTGTGAGGATGTGAAGAGAAGGGAACCCGCGTGCACTGTTGGTGGGAATGTACATTGGTATGACAACTATGAAAAACAGCATGGAGATTCCTCAAAAAATTAAAAATAGAACTGCCATATGATCCACCAATTCCTATCCTGGGTATATATCCAAAGAAAATGAAAACACTAATTCAAAAAGTTACATACACTCTGATGTTCATACAAGCATTATTTACAGTAGCCAAGATATGGAAGCAAACTAAGTGTCCATCAAAAGATGAATAGGTAAAGATGATGTGATATATATATACAATGGAATATTACTCAGCCATAAAAAGAATGAAATTGTGCCATTTGTGACAACATGGGTGGACAAGAGGGTATTACACTAAGTGAAGTAAGTCAGACAGAGAAAGACAAATACCATATGATTTCACTTATATGTGGCATCTAAAAAACAAAGCAAACAAAATGCCAAGTCAGACTGACCTCCTTAAGCAACAGGATAAAAGATATAGCTTTTACATCATACCAGTCTTTCCTCCTTTCTGTTCTCTCATAGGATATACTGCCCAAACATAGTATTTTATCTCGTACTCTATGACAATGTGCAAGCCTTAGGCCAGGTACTCTTGTATCCTTTCTCCACATCTCTGGCACCTAATATAGTATGATGGCATTGTGCTCAAAACCTAGTTATAGAGTTGGATTAGAAGAGAAATTACTGACCTCTTCACCAGTTTTCTTTCTGCCCAAAGCATACTGTTTTGTTGCTTCAATAAATCGCACAGGGATATTATATACTCGCTTATTAAAAAATACAACTAGTGTATATGGCTGTTTGGAATCATGGCCAGAGCTTTTCCGAATAAGAAATGATCCATCCTGTTTATTAAAAGAAAGAATAATTATGATTAGTGTTACTTGTATTTCCATAGGTTAAAAATCAGTTTATGAAAAATACCTATATTATATTCAAAAGGTAATTATTTAGGTACGATTTTTATTACCAATTAGAGCTTGTTTTATTATTTTGCAAGAAAATACTTCAGTAAAATATATACTTACAGAAAATTCTGAAAGAGGTAAATGCTAGCTTTTTGAGGCACTAAATAAGATCTTATGTTTATAGGCTTTGGAAATGTGTGAAGGGACACATTAAGATCAAACCTAAAGGGCACTCTTGAACTAGGAACCATGTTCACAAGTTGCCTATGAATAAAAAAAATATATCAAACAAATTCCATTCAAAAGTGCTATAAGAAGAAAGCAGATATTGGAAATCAAAACATTTCAACTGATAAAAATTCTCTCTCCAAAAATTTATGTTGAAGCAGAAAAAATATTGTAACACAACATTCCAAATTTAATTAAATATCTTGTAAAATATTCTACAATCATAAATCAAAAATTATGAACAAAAAATAGACAAAAACAGGAAGAAGAAATGCAATAAGAGTTGATCGAACCTGGGAAAAAGCACTTACCTGGTGGCACAGTGGTTAAGAATCTGCCTGCCAATGCAGGGGACATGGGTTCAAGCCCTGGTCCAGGAAGATCCCACATGCCATGGAGCAACTAAGCCCATGCACCACAACTACTGAGCCTGTGCTCTAGAGCCCGCAAGCCACAACTACTGAGCCCACAACTACTGAAGCCCACGCACCTAGGGCCTGTGCTCTGCAACAAGAGAAGCCACTGCAATGAGAAGCCTGCACACCGCAACGAAGAGTAGCCCCCACTCGCTGCAACTAGAGAAAGCCCACGTGCAGAAACGAAGACCGAACACAGCCAAAAATAAATAGATAAATTAATTAATTAAAAAAACAAAACACAACAACAAAAAAAACCTGGGAAAGAAGTTGAAAAGAAAGACAAACCTGTATCAGAAATGAAGAAGAAATTACAAGATGCCCAAGGGACAATAGCCTTAAATGAAGATTTAATAAATGACTGAAGGAAGGCATGGAAACAACCAAGAAAGAAAACAAAAAATAAAAAAGAGAGAGAGAGAGATTAAAAAAAAAAAAAGTACAATAACGTCAGAGTGGTTGGATTGAAAGAAAGACCCCCCCAAAGAAAGGTCTAAAATACATGTAATGTGAGTCCTTGAAAAAAAAACAAAATAACGAAACAGAACTACTCTTTAAGACTATAATTTAAGAAAATGTTTTGGAAATAAGAGAAATAAGAAATAAGAGAAAACTTAAATCTACATATTGAAAGGGTTTCCATCTACCTGAAAACATTGACCTGGAAATCCACTCAGAGACATAATCTGGTAAAACTATTAGACTTTAAAAAGAAAGAAATCTGCAGAGCCATCAGATTAAAATATCAAATAATAAGGGCAAGAAAAAAAATATCAAAAAATAAGGGCAAGAAAGTAACATTAGCGTCAGAGTTCTCAGAAGCATCAAGGCAATCCAGTGGAGCAACACTTTTAAAAACTCAAGCCAAGGATTTTACATCCAGCCAAGATTTCCTCCAGGTATCAGGCTATGAAAAACAGTTTCGAACGTGCAAGAACTCAGGGAATAACGTAAGCACAGTCCTTCCTGAGAATCTACTACAGGTGAGCTTCACCAAACAAAAAGAGATAACTGAGGAAGCAACAGGACTGATGGAAAGCATTTAATATATTTCATTGTAGAGCTAGGACTAAACAACGGTGGCAGAAAACAGTATATTCTGGACTTCCCTAGTGGCGCAGTGGTTAAGAATCTGCCTGCCAATGCAGGGGACAAGGGACTCTATCCCTGGTCCGAGAAGATCCCACATGCCGCAGAGCAACTAAGCCTGTGCGCCACAACTACTGAACCTGTGCTCTAGAGCCCATGAGCCACAACTACTGAACCCACGTGCCACAATTACGGAAGCCCTTGCACTCTAGGGCCCGTGCTCTGCAACAATAGAAGCCACTGCAATGAGAAGCCCGTGCACCACAATGAAGAGTAGCCCCTGCTAGCCACAACTAGAGAAAGCCCACACACAGCAAACGAAGACCCAATGCAGCCAAAATAACCCACAAAAAACCAGTATATTCTGACAAGGCAAGGTGCAAGTGGGCGGAGAAAAGAGAAAGATAAAGAAAAGTGGCACTTTAATCTTGGATTGTCCAGACTGTTCTAGTGTTCCTATATGACTGGGCTTGGACGCTCCAAAAATTTACTTCCCAGTACTTTTTGCCATCTTGATCCCAATCTTTTATCCCAAGCATTGATCCAAAATAGTCTGTTACATCTCACTGCTGGATGGATCTCATGTAGCACCAAGCCTTACAGAGATCCCCTCCAGAGCTTTCTTCTCTTCCACTATTTGGAGAGCCGTGGAGCCTATGGATCCATGTATAGATGAAAGGACAAGCAGCAATAAGATAGAGGAACAAAGAAAGAGGGAGGTACTTCAAAGAGAGGAGGGGATGGCAGTTCCTCTTGAGTAAGTAAAGAGAAAAGATCCCTGCATCCATAATTGTTGCAATTACTTAATTAGCATATTTTCGGGATGACAACTGTGCCAATATAGGCTGAGGGCACAACATGAGATTTTAAAATGGTCAGACCTTGTTTGATCTGTATAATGCCTCTTCGGCCGACTTTCGATCGCAGGCACCAGCGTACCATGGTTTACAGTGAACGTCAGCTTCCTGTGAGTGAGAGGGCATTATTAAGCATGAGATGGCCCTTCAATGACACTGAACCTTCTGTGCACTGGAAACAAAGTCCCATTTTGCATTACCAGAAAGGCCTAAGTACATTTGGGCCAGTAATCTGAAAATGAGTTATATGCTTCTTTTGATCAACAACAAGGATTATATAATTGACTTTTCCCCAGTTTGGCTGTAGGGGGTAGACTTAGTATTTGAACTTGAGACCTAATCCTGCTAGATTCCTGAACCATTTATTCCTTTCTCCTAAATAAGTTATCATCTCCCTTTCTATTATGATCTTACTGTTGCTTTGTGGAGCGTTTTATAATTTCCGAAGTGTTTTTACAAATATCTTATTTGATTCTTGTAACAACTTTGAAGCCAAGACGAATACATGCTATCATCCTTATTTTACATTTGAGAAAGCTTAGAGACTTGCCCAAGGGCACACCGAGTCCTTTCCCTGTCTTTTTTTAAACTATGCTATTTTATGTCTTAATATCATATGCCTCCACAGATCTATTCTGAAAAAATTACATAGTTTAAATAGAATCTATGTGAGAGGAAGAACAATAAAAACAACACACTTCTTTGCTAGTTTTGAAGAAACACCAATTGTTATTTATGGCATCCAGAATATAAATAAGTATAAATGGAGCAAAGTCTTAACAGTTGGGAAAAAAATGTATTCTGTACCCATCAGCAAATGACAACTCACAGGCTCACTTAAAATAGAATCTGTTCCCAAGCTTCACTCCAAAGACCCTCTTATAAGAAGTCATGCCCTTTCCTGCAGTTTACTGATAACGAGTTCATGTCATACCTGTTCTGACAAATTGGAATTAGATGAAAAGCTGGGTAATGGGCCATCCACAGTTGGGCTTCCTCCTTCTGGAAATCCTGAAAGGGATTTGAAAAATCAGTGGATCCCATTATATCTTGAGCAGTTACTCTGCCTATACCTCAACACTGTGCTGGGAGCTACAAGGAACACACACTGAAAAATCACACAAATAAAAAAATCACACACACCAAAAAATCCTTAAGAGTTGTGCTTCTCAAAGTGAGGTCTGAGGACCCTGGGAATCCCCAAGATTCTTTCAGGGCGTTTGCGAGGTTTTTTCCAAATACATATCTCTGTGAAGCCCAATTTTCCTCATATACTTCGACCAGTAAAACATATTGTAACAGATTGTAGACGCAGATATGAGAATTCAGCTGCCTCTGTTATTCGAGGCATTAAAGAGATTTTAAAAATGTAAAACAATGCCACTCTTCCCCCTAAATTTTTTTTTGTTTGGAAAATATATTTTTTTCATAAAAATATGTTGTTAACATGTAATGAGTTTAATATTTTAAAAATGGATTCATAAATATTTTAAATGTCTTCTAACTAATACATTAAATATCATTAGAAAGAAACACATAAACCATAGTTCTTTGGGTCTGTAATGATTTTAAGAGTGTTAGAATGGTCCTGAGGTCAAAATGATTGAGAATTTCTGCCCTAAGGCATAAACTCCCTCAAGGAGTTTACCATCTAAATGTGGAGACATGGAGACACATGAAATGGAGAAAATACTTAGCTGTATTCATTCATTCATTCATCCACTCACTCATTCATTCTTTATTGTGTACCTGCCATGGATCTAGGCTTTGGGAGTATACAGCAGTCAACAAAACAGCAAAATGCCCCTCCCTCTTGGAGCTTAAATTTTAATGGAGTGAGATAGGCAATAAAGACATAATATATATATACAATATTACAAAGTCGTAAGTGCTATGAAGAAAAATAGGGAAGTGGGTGGGGGATAGCTTCGGATAAGTAGTATGTTTAAATAGGCTGGGGAGGGAGAGCCCCACTGGGGTGACACTTGGGTAAGATCTGTAGGTGGAGAGGGAGGAGGCCTGTGGATATCTGAGGAAACAATGTTGCAGGTGTAGGGAACAGTGAACGCAAGGGCCTGGCATATTTGAGGAATAGAGAGGGGGCCACTGTGCCTGGACTGCAGTGAGAAAAGGGGTGAAGAACAAGGGATGAAGTCATACAGGAGGTGGTGAAGGGACCAGGTTTGTGGGACCCAGTGGACACTTAGCATGACTTGGGCTTTAACAAGCATGGTATGGGAAGCTTTTGGGGGGGGTTTTGAACAGAATAGTGTGATTTGCCTGTCTTTTAACAAGGTCACTCTGACTCCAGGGCTGGAAATAGATAGAAGGGGGCAAGAGCAGAGAGAGGAGGTCAGTTGAGTCTTGCAAGCCCAGGCAGGAGGTGATGGTGGCTTGGAACAGATGGCATCAGCAGAATTAGCGAGAGTGACTGGATTCCAAATGTATTTTGAAGGAACAGCTGGGAGGTGTGAAGAAAGCAAGTGAGGGGACTTCCCCGGTGGCGCCGTGGTTAAGAATCTGCCTGCCGATGCAGGGGACACGGGTTCAAGCCCTGGTCTGGGAAGATTCCACATGCCGCAGAGCAAATAAGCCCGTGAGCCACAACTACTGAGCCCGCATGCCACAAGTACTGAAGCCTGCGCGCCTAGAGCCCATGCTCCGCAACCAAAGAAGCCACCGCAACCAAAGAAGCCACCGCAATGAGAAGCCCACGCACCGCAATGAAGAGTAGCCCCCGCTCGCCGCAACTAGAGAAAGCCCACGCGCAGCCACGAAGACCCAATGCAGCCAAAAATAAATAAATACATTTATAAAAAAGAAAAAAAGAAAAGCAAGTGAGGAGTCATGGGTGACTCTAAGGTTTTTGACCAGAGCAACTAGAGTTGTCCTTTCTTAGGAGGGGAAGTCTACAAGAGAAACAGGTTTAGATGAACCAACTGCTTCAGATAAAAGTGCCCTGGACATTCAAAGGTGACAGCCACTGTTGTTAACAGGAGGGAGCAATGAGGGCTTGGCAGTCCCAGGAGGGCTGAGTATGAAGGAAGGCTGTGTTCTGACAGGTGGGGACAGTATTCCCGGGTGGGAGCAGCAAAAATAGGGTGGGAGGTCACGCTTTCCTAAAGTACATAGTACAAGGAGGTTGGTGGTTTCCACGGTTTGGGCATTTGGGGGAGTTCAAGGCTGACATTTTCTGATCCCTGAATATGTGCCAGCCCTGTCCTGTTTCTCACATCTTAGCTCACTTTGCCTTCACTTCCGCCCTTTATGGGAGGAGCTATCAGACCCCATTTTACAGGTGAGGTCTTCCCTGACCACAGCAGCCCTCACTGGCTCCATTCCTCTCTGTGCCCACCCACTGCCACCTTGCTTTATTTTTCTTTATATCACTTTAACATTTGCCTGATATTGTATGGCTTATCTAGTTGTTTATTTCTCCTCTAGTAGAAAAGAAGCTCCATAAAGGAAGGGACTCTGTTTTATTCACTGCTGTATCCTCTGGATCTAAAATATTGCCTGGCACATGGCAGACAGTCAATAAGTATTTGTCAATTGAAAGAATGACTTGGGTTGAAAAACAATAAATGGTATAATAAAGCTTTACGTAGTAAAAAAACAATAAAATTTCTATAGCTATACCATTTCACTTTGTGTTCAGAATTTTAGAAAAGTTTGTTTCTTTTATTTAAGATGAATCAAAAATCCAATTAAAGCCTAAGAAACAGATTTATGTTTATATAAACACACATACTTTTTGTATATAATAATTATTCTCTTTATTTAAATTTATTGAATCTTGATTACTTTGGAATATTTTCCAACTTATCCATGTACAGTAGGGTTTTATTTTGTGTTTTCATTTTTTTCCTACATTGAGTAGAAAGTAAATCAAGGTTTGGGCAGCTGTGTTCTGTGAGTCTGACTTCATATGTTTTTAGGGTTTTGTATTATTAGCCTAGGGAAAATTATCCAGATATTTGCCAGATCTTCTTTTCAGGGCGCCCTCTGTAGATACATTTTACGATCATTAAAATGTATTTTAGATTCAATTTAAATAGCTATCATTTATTGAGGACCTTCTATGTACCAAGCACAATATGTTGTTTTACTTAATCATCTTATTTTGAAAATAGTTGTATTGTTGTTGTGAAAAAAAATTAAATAAATAAAAGATGACCAGTATGACCAGTAAAATATTCAATCAAAACTAAAAAAGAAAAAAAGTAAAAATGATCTCAAATCTATTTACTTTTCAGAACAGTTCCATGACATAAACATTCTTGGCCCCATTTTACAGATGAGGAAACAAGCTAGAGAGGATACTAAGATACTCCAGCTGGAAGAGGCAGTGTTGCCCTGGACCCCCAGGTGGCTCAGACGTGAAGAGCCAGCCTTAGCCAATACCTGATATTGCACTTCGTGCCTTCATTGTACTTACTTGGCAGAGGTATGGGTTTTTGATGAATTGGTCTGAAAGGAAGAATTTCAGATTAATTAAAGGGCAAAGCACAAGGTGAATAAGTTTGACTTTTTGCTTTCAGTGAAGAGACTCAGAACAGGTGCATCACAAAGGATCAACAGGAATGGCCAATAAAACATATCTAAAGATAGGAGAGGCACCAAAACCTTCAGGATAAGTAAAATTATTCCCTTTAATTTTATAGAAAGAGGAGACTTGACTAGTGTTATTTTGTAGTGAAGTCCAATAATTAACCCAAATATTAGTTCAGTCTCTGTAATTCTAAGCAGTTTTTTTTAAAGTTGTTACCTACTTAATACCTTTTTAAATTTAATTGCAAAGCAATGAAATATTAAATCTTTACCAATCACAACAAGCCAGTGTTTCTGTGCAGTATAACAATGCAGGTGTTAAGGAAACTTTAATTTTTTTGGCCACACTGCGTGGCATGTGGGATGTTAGTTCCCCAACCAGGGATTGAACCCATGGTCCCTGTAATGGAGGCGTGGAGTCCTAACCACTGGACTGCCAGGGAAGTCCCAAGGAAACTTTTTTTTTTTTTTTTTTTGAGGTACGCGGGCCTCTCACTATTGTGACCTCTCCCGTTGAGGAGCACAGGCTCCGGACGCGCAGGCTCAGCGGCCATGGCTCATGGGCCCAGCTGCTCTGCGGCATGTGGGATCTTCCCGACCGGGTCATGAACCCGTGTCCCCTGCATCGGCAGGCGGACTCTCAACCCCTGCGCCACCAGAGAAGCCCCGAAACTTATTTTTAAAAGAAAGAATTCTTACTTCTGGGGAGGAGGAGGAAAAACTTGTGACTGCATATTTTCTTGTCTGTGACTAGACCCTCGGTGGCGTTCAGCGGGTATAGGTTTTTCTGCATTAAGAAAATTATAGTAGGATTAGGGTGAAATGTCTGTCCCATGCCCAAACCCAGAAACATCAACCAAGAGGAACCAGATTTGGTCACATGTCTTCCCATGAGCATGTCTTTCACCAGGATGTCATCCCTTTGTGCACCTGTCAGTGTGGTGGTGTGTCTGAGCTATTAAGACCAGGACTCCTACTCAGTGGTGTTATACCATTCACCTACCACCTCTTCATTCACCTCTTGGCAATGTACAAATACATGGAGACTGAACCTGTGGAATCTGAACCTTTAGGTGTGTGATTACAAGTAAAAGCCAGAAGATGGGCAAGCTTTAGTCACCCCTGATTCCTATGTGGCCTCCACATAGGTGTTACAACAGCCTGGTGTGTCTTCATTAGTCATAAGACATGGTATAAGTAATTTCTAACTGATAAGAGGTAAAATATCAGCGTTTGCGAATGATCTACTTTTTTGAAAAATTAATTGAGCAAATTCAAGGTTATCCCTATAATAATGTTAAATCTCACTTGCATTTCACTCTTTTCCTGAGTGAGAGAGGAAGGGGTGGAGTTATAATTAGTTCACAGGGAAATGTGCATAACCTGAAATCTAAGAAGTTTATGTTGAAGAACATTTATTGCTGAACCACTAATAAAAGTGATTATAAATTATTGTAATGCTTTATTCTCCCTCGAATTTCGTCTAGGGTGTGTTAAAGTCTGGGTATGTCCAAAGGTCTGTCTCCTGCATGGAAGAAAGTTTGAGAACTACTGATCTCCCATTAGAGGAACCCAAAATAAATAAAAGCAGTAAGAACTCAAGGATTCAAATAAATGATGATAGACTTCAGGGTTTCTTGAGGTGCAGAGAAATTCAGAAGCTTTGAATCTCTGAAGATTGTTTCAAGTTTGTGGCAAGTTACTTCAAGCTGCCACGTGAGATGTTTTGTTCATGACTTTACAACATGGTAATTTCAGGAGAAACAATGAACACTTTGGTTCCCCACGGCCTGATGAGCTTTGACCACCCCTGCTTTTGCCCCCATCCTCCAGGAGGCTTCCTTCCTAGGTCAGAAGAGGCCGCTCACCCGCTTTGGGTTTGGATGGCCATTGCCTCTACTCTTGAAAGGAGAGACCACGCTCCTGCACTGGGAGCCCTTTGGGAATGAAGACACCCGAGCCGCGTGGGACATGCCAAGAGCCTGTTATCTGATGGTTTTCAGAAGTTTCTGAAGCCATGAAATTTGCACAGGGTTGTACTTACTTCCTACAGAGGCTCACCCTAATGCTCCATTATCACTCCAAGCTCCCTGCTCAGCAGGCATGGAAGACTGTAAGGAATGGAAGGACAGCAAGGCAAAAGCATCAGGAAAGGCAGAAGAAAGCAAGACACAGAAAGGGAGCGGTACCTCAGGAACAGCCTGGGAGAAAGATGTGGGAAATGATGTAAAAAACTCAACAGAGCAGTCAAAGCAGACAGGTGAGTTGTAATGCACATTCCACAAATGTCTACCGTCCATTGTGAGACCAGGTGTGCCCACATTAACTCAGGAAATGGTGAGCTTTTAACATTGGGTACCTTCAAGATTGAAATTAGACAGGTGCAGGATTTTAATTTTTATATAGTGTTTTAAGTGTTGAGATTATGGATGATTCTTCTTTCTGTTTTTTTTTCCCCAGTATTTTTCAAATACAAATTTTTTTTTTAATGGGAAAGTTCTAATAAAAAGTATACATAAGGGTTTTAGGTTATGATAAAACAAAGGAAGGGAAGCATTTGAAGATGTACTAAGATAGATGTTTGAACTCAGGAAACATTATTTTGAAAACTTAGCACAAGAACTTGTTCAAACAAACAGGTTTTTGAAAATTCATTACCTTAACTTAGCCATTAATTCTAAGATACGTGACTGGCTCTAAATAAGTCTTCACACCTATGTAACACTGTGGCACTGTTTCTGTAAAGTCATATCTGTCTACAAACAGGCATGTTTGGGGCATGTAGACTGTGGCCTGCCCCAAAGATGCAGCCTGGCAAGCTCAGGTCCTGATCAGCTTTGCTACTCACTACTCATGGCAAAGTAAAGACTGTTCTGTTTAGAAAATTGAGTTTTATGTTCACAGTTGCCTTATGAATAATTAAAGAAATTTAGAAATACATTTGTATACAAATCCTTAATCAAAATAACTTTCAGAGGACATGCTCATCTGTCAAAGTAATATAGGCTTACCTTCACAAACACTTGAGGCATTCTGTTGAGAGACAACTGGAGTCTATTTAAAAAAAAAAAAAAGCAAGGCAAGGATCTTCAATACAGTGGTATGTGGAAATAAAAGTCAAAGCAATATTATTAAAATAAATACTGGGGGAGAACATTTCTTTGATGCATAGCTTTTCTTTCAGTCATAAGACCAACAATTAAAACCACACAGTCCCCCGGCCCACTTTTGCATTAAGTGACAATGGACTGGAAGTGTGTCAGGGAAGGAGCAGTGTCATCCTGGCCTCCCCACTCTGTCAGCAGGGTTGGTGGATACCATGACCCCCAGCAGCTGCTGGGCAGTAGTGCTTATGCAGTGGAAATCTGGCATCTGGCTTTGATCTCAGGGCCCCACCGTCTTGGTGTTTGTAAGGGACTGTAAATGTCAGGCTACAGTATAGATACCAGGTCAAGGTGGGCTTCCTCGAATAGTGGGCTGTCCCAGGTTCCCCATGTTCTGCCCAGAAGTTGAGTATACTCAGGCCTTTGTGCCTGATATGCGGTTGTCAGTCATCAGTTCCCAGGCCAGCGGGTGGGAAGCAGACACAGGGGAAGACAAAGGTCTTGGGACGCAGGGAGCCTGACCGCTGATCGGCCATTCACATTCAGTGAAGCCACCGGGTTCACATTCAGTGAAGCCACCGGGATGTGACCCTCCCATGCAGCATCTTCCCTACCCAAGTGAGGATTCCAAGTTTCTCTTGGACTGTCTGGGCAGCAACATGACTGCTGTGTTCACCTTAGCGGGAAGCATCGTCAACTTTAAATAAGTGAACAAGAATAAACATTGCGGGAAACATGAAGCACATTTAAAAGCAGAATTAACTCACCATCTTCAGTGGCGTAGCTGTTTTTTTCCTGGGGGATGAAAAGAGATTGGCTTTGTTAAAACACAACAAAGATAAAGAGGAGCTGATGACTTACCATTTTACTCTCAAATTTAAACTAGAATAGTGAAAGTGATACAAGTGTGTAGGAAGACTATCCTTGAAGGGAAGAGAGGGATGAAAGCAGGATTTAGCCATGATCCTTCATAGCCTCAGATAGGGTCTGCTGACAGATGGCAAAGGGGTTAATGGGGATAAACAGGAGGACCAGTTGCCAGGGAATCAGGATAACTGAGCTCTTGTTCCAGTTCTGCTACTGATTACTCTGTGACCTCAGGCCTGTTTCTCTCAGCAGTGAGGGCCAGTCTGAACTTTAGTTTCTTCATCTGTAAAATGAGGGCCAGAATCAGTGTTTGCAAAGTGTGTATGTAGAGCCGTCCCTTCCCCCAACAGCACCCCAGGGCTACTATCTGGGGAAGGAGGGTGGAGACCTGAGGGTGGCCAAGCAGGTACATTTGTAGCCAGCACCTCCCCACGCCAATGTCCCCCCTGCTTCAGGTGACTCTTCTCTGCTAGACATCTGCCTAGAATTTCATTCCAAACAGATAAACCCAAGACCAACACAACACAAGTTTGAAACCCACTCTGATCTCTGGTCCTGAAGGTGCTTGCCTGACCTAACGTACTGGTTTGTCTTAGTTCAGTAGAGATTGGACTCTAATATTGCTAAGGCTTTATAATTCTCTTCTGTGTTTATTTTGAATACTGGCTTTCTCTCTATCTCTCACTTTGTTTTGGCTGAGAGCTGGAAGATTGGGGGAAGAATACTAACAATTCCCAAGTGCCTCTAAGACGCCTGGCACTGGGTTAGGCTCTTCACATATTTTTTAAACCTCACACTGTCCTTTTTAAATGGGTGTTTTTATTACATTTTAGAGATTAGGAGACTAAGTAACTTGCCTGAAGTGATAAACCTAAGCCAAGAGAGAAGTGTGCAGAGTTTTGTTTAATAAACCCCTGAAATGGAGAATTTCTTTGCTTTACTCAGAGGCAGAATTAAGGCTATAACCATGCAGGCTTGCTTTGGACAGATTTAAATGTGCTTTTAAAATAACCTATTGAGCCAAAATTATGGGGTCACTGTTTGTAATATTAACACGTTACATTCACCCAATATCTTACAAAGCTCTTCTAAGTTCAATGAGAAAGAATGACTCTCTCATCTCCCTTTTGAAAGGAACCTTGGCAGTGTTGCTTTGATTGAACACGCAGTGCATGCTGCTCTGTGTACACATTTGTTTGCAGATCACTAATTACTTGGAAGAGAAACCAAGGAGTAGAAAGTAGGGATGAAACCTGCTAGTGGTTCTTAAAATTATTCAGGTGCTGGAGCTTGTGTCTTGTGGAACACAAGTCAGTGAGCTCAAGATTTAGCTAGAAGTTTATGGGAGGAAAAACTACTAGTTTTTGATGTCAGCAGGGACACCCCTAGTCCAACTTGAAGCATGCATGGGTGTGGAGAAGACCAGGGCAATAGGGTTTCATTTCCACACTCTTCAGGAACACACCTATTGTAATGTTAGGTGCACCTGCATATGAGCTTGGGCAGGTATGCTCTTCTGAATGGAAACAGCAGAAAAACACCCCCCTCTGGCCCCCAGATTCTCAGGCAGGACTCCTTTGTGGATTCCAGGCAGCTCTGCTCACAGCAGTGATGGAGACCATACACTGAATTCACAGAGTTGCTTCTCTGCAACAGGAACTTACCCAGCCCTGGGCAGTGGGGATGGCACAGCAGGTGAAGAGGTTGACTTAGAGTCCCAGGCCCCACTTTTTCGACCTGCGCAGACATATACACAGGTCAGTCTCTAGCCCTGAACTGAGGGCTGATGGTCACAGTGAGCTGGCCTTGCTGGCAGGCTCAGAAATACATGCACATTTTTTCTTACTTTCAGCTAAGCATATATAAGTAGTTACATTGAAGTTTTGGGGGAAAACCTATAGGCAAAGATGATGAAACATTTTATAAATGCCAATTTATAAGCTCAGAACTAGGATGTTAATTAGAAACTCCATCTGAACATTGCTAAATGACCTTCTCATTTCCCCCATGGGACAAGTTCAGAGCCCCTGATTCTGTGGGCTCAATAAGAGCTCACAAGGGTTCCTATGGAAGGGAGCTAAGAGCTCTCACACTTGTATCTATATGCACTGCACAAATGTGCACAACAGCAGTGCCTAGAGACAGAGGGGCACAGACCCACCACTCCTGATCACACCTATAGACACTGCTCATTCCTAACCACATTTACACAGTACACAAACCTAACCTCACATTTGGAGAGCACTCATTCATTCATTCATCTCTGAGTTCTTAGGGCCTTTACTCATTGTAGAAATAGACAAATGGAGAGAAGCAGCAAGCTATTACCCAAATCTCATCTTCTGAAGTCACAGAAGGGACCCAGAGGGCCTTGTCCCCAGCGCCCATTTCCCCTCCCTCTACCTGAAGATAGAAGCCAGAGCATCGTTGTGAGGGAAGAAGGTGAGAGACAGGCAGAGATTCATTGCTGAGATTGGGAGCCGGCCCAGATGGGGAGAGGCCAGAGCTAAGCCGGCTCCCCTCAGCGCGTCCCAACTGCCTCCTCTCAGGCTGCTACCGCCTGCCTGGGCATTACTGCTCAGTGAGATAAAGGCTCTCTACTGAATTAAACTGAACTGAATAAATGTTTTAATTAAGAACTTACTACATTTATAAGTGCACAATTCCTAATGGACTTAAAGGGGATACTCTGTACATATAGGTTGGACTTGCCCACAGCATGTATTGTTTGAGTTTGCAAGATAAAGCACACGTAAGTAAACACTGAGGTAATAATCTATTACCAAGAATTATTGAGAACCTGGTATGTGTAAAGCCCTTGGAGGCACTGTGTTAGGGGCTATGGAAGAGCTGAAGAAGTAGACATAGGATTCTGCCCTCTCAGAATTTATAACAAGAGAAGACACATGTACCCCCATATGCCACCTCACCTGACAGGACCACCTATTCCAAACACAAAAGGGAAAAAGTCCTCGAAAAGTATTAAACGCAGAGATCATAAAGTTCATTCTCATGTACTTTACTAGAGAGAGGCCTTCAGGCTCTCACTCAGAGCCCATTTACTCTTTCTACACGTAGTCCTTACATAGGGCTAATTTCCATAAGCACTAACCAGTGGCATCTGGTGAAGGAACGGCCCCTCCCATGTAACCCTTACTTAGATGTAAGCTGACCCGGATGGGATTTTTAAAAACATTTTGAGAAAGAGACTACATATGGATTTTTTTTTTTTTTTTTTTTTGGCGGTACGCGGGCCTCTCACTGTTGTGGCCTCTCCCGTTGCGGAGCGCAGGCTCAGCGGCCATGGCTCACGGGCCCAGCCGCTCCGCGGCATGTGGGATCTTCCTGGACCACGGGCATGAACCCGCGTCCCGTGCATTGGCAGGCGGACTCTCAACCACTGTGCCACCAGGGAAGCCCCATATGGAATTTTTAACATTTCCTCTGACAATAAACTGAAACGTCATCTGAATGTGTAGTAGTATGAGTCTAACTGTGTTTTATTAGCAAGGGTATCAAGTTGATATTGTTCTTCACATTCTCAATACTTAAGATTCACATTGTGAAAATACACTCGGCTACTCATAGATGTTGATAGAAAGTTTCGGGGAAGAGAATAAAAAACCTCGTCTGAAAAATAAGGAAGCAGAAAGAACGTCTAAGTCAGAATTTCCTCCCAGGCGTCCCCTCTCTTTTCACCAAGGGCTCGCTTGGCCTGGGCATGTTATTGTTGTCATATCTACTGCCTGGCTTCTTTACTAAGCTTCCCTTTCCTTCATATCTGCAAACAGTTGGCCAACGTCTTCCTTTCCCCTTCCCTCCTCGTAAATAACTTCTGCAATCAGAGGAGAGGGAGGGGCATGCTGGCTGTCCTCTGTGGTGGTGGAGTCCAGTACAAGCTCTGGTTTTGCATCAGGAAGACAGGGTTTTAGTTATTTCTCTGCCACCAAACTGGCTGTGTGGCCTCTTACGGGCCACTATGCCTCAGTTTCCCCCTCTGTGAGATGGGGATGCCACTAGCTACATTATCTAACACAGAGTTACTGTGGTTAGGTAATAAGGTAACATTGAACATGTAAAGAATTAGCCAAATATAAAGTAATATTGCTGGAAAGGGACTGAAAGTTTTGAGGGTCAAAAATGTTATGCTAATTGAAAGGAGTGAGATGGAAAAGACTGTATATTATATGACTCCATCTATATGAATGTTTGGAAAAGACAACTCTATAGCAACAGAAAGCAGATCAGGGTTACCCAGGGCTGAGGATGGGAACAGCACTGACCACAAATGAGCATGATGGCTCTTTTGGAGTTGGGGTAGGCACAGAAAGTTTCTAAAACTGGATTGTAGTGCTGGTTACAAAACTCTATAAATGTAATGATTTACAAAAAACATTGAATTATACATGTGAAATGAGTGAGTTTTATGATACATAACTTATAGCTCATAAAGGATCTCAGTAAATATGATTATTGCTATTTTCATTTTCTCATCTTGTTATCAACCACGGCAGTATCTCTAGGTGCCGGGCACTGTGCCCGGCACTTCACATGTGCAACTTCTAAGCCTCACATAACATCAAGGGGAGCAAACAGAGGCTCAGAGGGGTTAACGGGCAGGGCCAGGGTTGGAAACCAAGGCCATTCAAGTTGAAAGCCTAGGCAGGCAGTGTACTCTCTAGCCAATATCTCATAATGTTATTCTGGGGCATGACTTGGCATGTCAGATTCACTTGCTGCTTCTCCCTTATGTGGGGAAAGATTAGTGAAACAGAGGGCTGCTTTTGTAAATGCCCATGGGAGGATGGAGAGTTACTCCTCGTAGGCCAGTGACCCTCTCTGCCGCCCTGGCTGAAGTCAGACCCCGGGGCATGGCTGGGGTAGGACGACACTGTACCCTTCTCATTGCCAGGATCCCTGCTTCCTGGCCAAGCCGAATTCTTGGTTGGAAAGCTCCAAGGGAGAAACTGGGGATGCAATAGAGGGAGATGTGTCCAAAAGCATACTAATAAAAGAGAAAAATCATCTTTGTTTAAATCATAGGGAGCAAAAAGTTATGTTAAGGTTTGATTTAACAGCACAGGCCTTGCACAAGCTGGTGCTTACCGAAGTTCCTTAACTTGGAAAACAATTTACCCTTAGTTTTTCCTTCTACCACGTATATTTTATGCATCATCCTCTTTTCAGTTTTGCATACAGTGGTGGTAAGTTTCCTTATTCTTGATGATCTCAGTGTTGGCATTGTAAGCCCTTGGGATTTAACTCTCTTTTAGCTGTTATAGACACCCTATTATCATTAGTGGGGCTTGCATAATAGTCGAAGCATCCCTTACTCTCAGGTACTATATGAACTCTTACAAAATACATAAAAGAGATTTAATTTAACAACTTAAGAATAATTTGGGCTATGGGTAAAATTCTGCTTGCATATTAGCAGGGAATTGTAAATTCCAAAACTCCTCCCCTATTTTAAGAAATAAAGAGATAGAATACTTTAAAAATGCTGTTTACTTAGAGCAAGCTCAGAAATACATGCTCTGTCTACCCTTTTCTGACAAAAGCTACAAATTAGCCAGAGGTTGCACTGCCTTCTTCTAAATGCTCATTTAGAGATAAATCACAATGGACTTCAGTCTTTCAGTTTGTTTAGACCAGTGCTTCTTAACTGGGAGTGATTTTGTCCCCCTCTCCCAGGAACTTTCTGCAATGACTGGAGACATCTTTGCCTATCACTACTGGGGAAGGGGGTGCTAGTGGCATCTAGTGGACAGAGGTCAGGGATGCTGCTAAACAGCCTGCGATGCACAGGACAGCTCTAACAAAAATCACTGAGCCCCAAATACCAACCGTGTTGAGGTTGAAAAACCCCGAAATTTAGAGGAAAACTTTATATGGAAAGGAAGAAACACTTCTCTGAGATGTGTACCGGGTGATGTGCCAGACTGGTCATGAATCAAGGCAGGTTAAACAAGGGATTCTGAACAATAACAATAATAAATCACAAAGAGCTATAATTTTATGAGTGTGATTCGTATCTTTTTACTCATATAATTCTCACAATACCCCTAGGCATAGGTGCCATTTTCCCCTTCATTTTTTTCAGGAGAGGAAACTAAGAAACAGAGGGATTACTTAGCTTGCTCAAAGTCTGGCACCTAGTGAGTGAAGACTTGGACCCTCTGGCTTTGGAGTCTGTGCTAACTCCTGCTACCACACTTCCCAGTATGGAACATGAAGGAGAGGGAGAGCCTATCTCTGCACCTAATTCGCTATGTAATCTGCGGCCAGCACCTTATTAGCCATCAAAGAACCAAAAGCAACATTAACCAGAGGCAAGTGTCGTGGTGTGGGACTTTAACAGAAACCCCTGAAACCTTAGCACTTTCATGATGCCTATCAGGGAACTTTCTGAAGCCTTTAAAGACAATGATCAGTTATTTAAAGACACAGGCAAGTAGTCTGATTATTCCTTTTATAAAAATCATCTCTGAAAACTGTACTGTTTGCACACTCAGAAACTTGCTCTAACTGTGCAGGTTTGTTCCCTACCCGCGCCCCACCCCACCCCGCTCAAGTTATCTCACTTCCTTCCTCCTCCTGAACTTCCTCCTGTCTATATCCAATAATCATTTAACCAGGAAATTATTTTCTTGTTCAGGTTTGGTTTCTTCATCTGATGCCTCTAGTGATAAAATATAGCTATACTAGGTTAATATAAAACTAATGAATAATAAATCCAGTGGGCTAATGCCTTCATGATGGGGCCATGTGATTCCTTAAAGACAGCCAGAGTTGGGGGACTCAATCGCTCTCTCAACCAACTGACCCATCTACCGTTTCAGCACCTACTCTGAGCCAGGTCCTGTCTAGGCCTTGGAAACACAGCTATGAGCAAGATATGGAGCTGAGAGTCTTATGGGAAAGACAGGCTGATTGGAGTATTGGGTGTGTTTTAGGAAGAAGAGGTCTGTGTAAGGCAAGAAGAGCATTTTAAGATGTAAGCACCAGAGAGTATTAAACTATGACTCTAAAGGAGGGTTTAAGCCTTCATTTATCTGTTTCAGTGAAAGGTTTTCTATTCCAGTAATAACAGCCCTTCTGAGTTATCACGTGTCAGGAGTCTCCGTTTCAGTTGGGACCAAAGCGACCTCGCTGTGACGTTTTAGGTTGGTGTGTTGACATTTGTTCCCAGAAATTAAGATGAGCTGGATAAGATGCCTCTGACCTCTAGTCCCCAAGTATAAAGAGCCTGTGGATTCCGAGGGGGAGGATAAATAAGAACTTGTGAAGAGGGTGAGCAATTGCACAGGAAATGAGTCTAGGAAAAGAGTTTTTAAAATACTCTTCTTTCATTTTCTCTCAAAGAACACGTCCCTGAAAGCAGAGGTCAGTCTCCCAGTCTCTGTGTTCAGCCTTCAGGTCTGGGAGAGAAGGGAGTGTGTGTGTGTGTGTGTGCGTGTGCGTGTGTGTGTGCGTGTGCATGTGTGTGTGTGTGTGCGTGTGTGTGTTTGGTACAGGGTGGGGGAGAGGAGAAGGAGAGAATGCTGTTGAGGAAGCTCCTGCACCTCTCTGTGCTGTAAAAGAGTTGGGGTATGGGCGCCACTCAGTACTGTGGGCCTCAGTCTAGGGGTTGCCAAACCCTACAGGAGACATCAGGAACCAATGAGTGTTCATGGTTTGGGTAGGGATGACATGGTAAAAACTAACTTTGTAATGGAATGAAGCTAGAAACATTTGGAAGGGGTCAGAAGCTCATCTCAGTGACTGAGGAGAGAGCCTAGAGGCAAGATTATGGCTAGTGGACTCTGTAAGACAGAAGGTATGAAGTGATAAAGTAAAGAAAGCCTGGTTCAGGTGGTGGCAACCAAAATAGAACAGGAAATTCAGGAAAAAGCAAAGCAGAATTGGGAAAGGACATGGGCACTCTGAGACATGGAGCCTGGAGGCTGATGTGTAAAGAGGAATAGGGATGCCCGAAGGGTAAGGGTGATGGATGCACTGAGCTTGAGGTAGTGGGAAGGTCAACGTGTTCAGAAGGGAAGAAAGGTCAAGGTTGGACACCAGAGAGTTATCAGCTTAGACCAGAGAAGTGAAGCCAGAAGAATGGATAAACCGGAAAGAAGTGAAAAATACTACTCTACCAAGCACCTACTGTGTGCCAGGCACTGCATTAAGAATTTCCCATTCACAGTTTCAGAAATCTCCTGTCTCAGGGCACGGGCTTTCATCTCCATTTACCGATGAGAAAATGTGATGCTTGGAGAGGTGAAGTACAGACCCAAAGTGATACAGTTGATAATGGGGAGCACTGGGATGCCTGGCCCATAACCCACGCTCTTAACCGCACGACGTTCTGAAGGAAGAGCAGAGGGCTGAGCCTGAACGGTGCAGGCGTCCTCAGTCAGGGGAGGGGAGAAGGAGGGCAAGCCAGCCAAGTGCCCAGAGAGGTAGGATGAAACAAAGGACTTGTCTGATAGAGGCGCAGGGGCATGGGGGCGAGGGTCCCCTCACATAGGTGCCCCCAGACAGTGGATGAGCCTGAGAAGGCCTCTGTTACCATTTATTAGGACATTTGGAAATACAAGGGATTATTTCTTAATATTTGCTCTGAGTTGTTTGTCTTAATTAGAACAGATTTAAAATGAAACCCCCAAATGTAATCATTTCACAATAAAAAAAGCAGAAACAAAACCACCAAATCATGTGTACACTCCACCTGAAGCTGTCCCTGGAGGTGAAGCTGGCTTTGAGGAGTTATTTGGCTTGGTTGATCTATTCACCATGGGAGCTGAAACACAAAATCACACCTATATTATAATTTATATATATATATATATATACACACACACACACACACATATACATATATAGTAGATAGTCTACACACACACATATACATATATAGTAGATAGTCTACTGAGGGAGATTCACACTTATGGAAAAATGCATTGTGGAAATGATGGGTCAGACCAGAGAATCTGCAAAGAATGGGAGACACAACTAGTAAGCCCACAAGCCATTAAAAGAAGCCTTCTCAGAAGACAACATTTTTAGAATGAATATATTAATGATTAAAGTGAATACTGGCTTGGAATTTCATTTGCCAAACTGGGTGTCTAGGAGATGAAAGAGTTTGTTTTTTTACCAGGAGACGTGCATTGAACTAACAGTGGAGGGGCCAGATTAATAGCCCCACCTTCCCTGCCACACGTAACACACATATCATTCCTCTTGGATTTTGTAGGTTTATGGGGGGTGGAGGTGGGGGCATTTAATTTGTATTTATTGTTTCATGGTGATGGGTGAATTCAGGAATTCTGGTGGGTCTAGAAGCTGTCGGTGATATTTAGGGCGTGGGAGAGGGCTGCGACGTGATGGCAGTGTAAAAACTGCGTATTGCTACTTTGGAGTCAAGTTTATTAGATGAGTAATGTTACTTGAAGAGGCTGCATTTATACAGGATTATATTTTCCATAGCGACTATATCCAGAGTAATCATACACTGTTCCACACCTCATCTGAGGCTATGTGGCACGGGCTTTTGAAGATAATTTGTTTGTAACTGCGTTTGTTATTTCGTGAAGGATTTACAAATGAAATGTTTCTCATGGGCCTGAGATAGCACTCAATTTTAAAGAATTAGAACATAGAGCATATTTTACTCTTTCATTTTTTCAGTCCTCTGCAGAAACTTCCTGGTGCAATATTTGTAAGGTCAACATGGTGGCTCATGACTTTGTGAGTATTAGGTTTTATAAGAAATCCATTCTAAGTGAGGAGCTAAAGAGAAGAACTTAGGTGCTTTTATACCTTGAGAAGATAGTATTAAATCATGGAAGAGGACGGAGAAAGAAGGGTAAAGGCTATAAAACACAGAGATGGGCTGCTCACTATGCTCTCTGTTCCACTAGCCAAAGAAGGCAAATGCTATGGCCACAGAGGAGAAAGGCCTGGGCACTGTCATTTCTGAGCCCCTTAGAGCTTGCTACCCAATGGTCCTGTATGCCTCTATCAACTGCAGAAGTTTTCAGGTGCTTGAAACTACAAACTCTTGCCTTTTTCAGATGGGAGTGAACTGTCTTCTGTGGGATGAATGTAGTTTTCATCTTCATCTTCCACAGGGACCACATAATCAGCCTAAAAGAAATACAGAAATGCTGTATATTCAGAGTTTACTGCATAAAAAGCAGTGATATTTAAAAAAATCTTCTGAGATATAATCCATATACCATTAAATTCCCCTATGTAAAGTGGTTTGGTGATTTGTAGTATATTAACAGAGTGTGCAACCATCACTGCAATCTAGCTTTAGAACATTTCCATCACCCCCAAGAGGCACCCTGCACCCATTAGTCACTCCCATCCATCCCCTCCCCTGACCTAGTCAACCACCAAACCTTCTTTCTATCTTGAAGATTTGCCCATTCTGGACATTTTATATAAATGGAATCATACAATATTTCAATATACAGTCTTTCACGACTTCTTTCACTTAGCATAGTAATTTCAAGGTTTAACCACGTTTTAGTATTTCATTCCCTTTTATGGACAAATTATATTCCATTGTATGACTATACCACATTTTACTTATCCATTCATCAGTTGATGGACATTTGGGTTGTTTCTACTTTTTTGGCTATTATGAATAACGTTGTTGTGAACATTCATGTACAAGTTTTGTGTAGCTGGACATTTTTCTTGAGAATATACCTAGTGGTGGAATTGCTGGGTCATATTGTAGCTCTATATTTAATAGTTTGATGAACTGTTAAATTGTTTTCCAAAGTGGCTGCACAATTTTTGCATTCCCACTGGCAATGTATGAGGGTTCCAATTTCTCCACATATTCACTAATACTTGTTATTGTCTGTCTTTTTTATTGTAAGCATCCTTGTAGGTGTGAAGTGGTATCTAATTGTGATTTTGATTTGCATTTCCCTTAATGATGTCAAGCATCTTTTCGTCTGCTTATTGGCCATTTGTATATCTTCTTCAGAGAAAAGTCTGTTCAACCCCTTTGCCAACTTTTAATTGGGTTGTTTGTCTTTTTTATTCTTGGATTATGAGTTATTTAAATGTTCTAGATTTAAATCTCTTATCAGTTATATAATTTGCAAAAAAATTCTCGCATTCTACACGTTGTCTTTTTACTTTCTTTATGGTATCATTTGCAGCACAAACGTTTTACATTATAAAGTCACTTTTATCTACTTTTTTCTTTTGTTGTTTGTGCTTTTGGTATTGTATCTAAGAAACCATTGCCTATCCCAAGGTCATAAAAGTTTATACCTGGGCTTCCCTGGTGGCTCAGTGGTTAAGAATCTGCCTGCCAACGCAGAGGACACGGGTTTGAGCCCCTGGTCCGGGAAGATCCCACATGCCGCGGAGCAACTAAGCCCGTGCACCACAACTACTGAGCCTGCTCTCTAGAGCCTGTGAGCCGCAGCTGCTGAGCCTGTGTGCCACAACTACTGAAGCCTGCGTGCCTAGAGCCCACGCTCCACAACAAGAGAAGCCACCACAATGAGAAGCCCGTGCACCGCAACGAAGAGTAGCCCCCGCTCTCCGCAACTAGAGAAAGGCCACGCGCAGCAACGAAGACCCAATGTAGCCAAAAATAAATAAAATAAATAAATTTAAAAAAAAAAGATTTATACCTATGTTTTCTTCCAAGAGTTTTATGGTTTTAGCTCTTACACTTAGACCTATGATCCAGTTTTATTTAACTTTTTATATATGGTGTGAGATCAGAGTACAGTTTCATTCTTTTGCATGTGTATATACAGTTATCTTAGCACTGTTTGTTTAAAAAACGAATTTTTCCCGTTGAATTGTCTTGGCACCTTTGTCAATAATCAGTTGACCATAAATATAGGGAGGGAGTGATTTTATAAGAGGTAAATAAAGTAACCAGATCTCAGAAGTGGTTTTTACAACCTGCCTTGGTTGGTTGCCAACATGGGGACTGGGAGAAACAAAAAACAAACATTTATTGAGTGCTTATTGCCAGGTGCTCTCCTAAGTACTTTACATGTGTAATCTCACTTACTCCTTGTAGTAACCCAGAAAGGTAGGTACCACTAGTACTATGCTATAATACTATACTAAAATTGTTACCTGCCAAAATAAGCAAATGATCAAGAATCATCATAATCTGTGTCCTAACAAGTTCATCTTCACGGTGCTGCAGTGTTTTAATATAAACCCCGTTATCCCATGTTCACATCACAAAAAACTGGCTGTAGTTACATGAATAATTGGTCTTTTGGAGCCAGGCAGATTATTCTACTGCCACAACCTACATGCTATTAGATCCTTCCTCAGTTTTTACAATGGCATGATTAAAATATAGATGATTATTTAAAAAATAATCTTAGATCAACTCCAGTGTTTAGATGTTCAGTATTAAGACACCTGCTATAGGTATTTACATGTTTGCCTTCCCCCAAACTTTAAATATGAAAAATAGGAACACCACGGATTCATCTTATTTTCACTTTCCCATTGCCCTTCACCCCATTCCATATCAGGAGTCGTTAAGATGAGCTAAGTTAACTTAAGTTTCTTGCTTAATACAACTCATGTGAACATTTAATAGCTTTACATACATTATGTTACTGAGTTCTTTCAATGATACCTACTATTAAGTTAGGTATACTTATCCTCATTTTACAGATGAGGAATTTGAGAGCAGTTGAGTAATCTATCCAAGGTCATATAAAATCACAAAACTGATGCCCTGCAAGGACAGGTACCGGGCCTGCTTTGGGCACCAATGAAGCCCTGGCACATTTGTGTTGAAAGAAGAGCTGGTCTCTTCTCATTGGATACTGGAGAGGTGGCACAGGATAGCTCTTTAGCACCTGGGATCTAGCATGTAATCATCTGATTTCAAATGCTGGCTCTGTCATTTACCTCTGTGACCTTGGACAAGTTCTTCAACCCCTTTGCACCTCATCTGTGCCCTTTCCTCATCTGTAATGCCGATGATAATAGCACACACTTCCTAGGTTTGCTGTGAAGATGTAATGAGATAATACGTACAGAGTGCTCAGAACACCACCGACACACAGCACTAGTCAAGTGTTAGCTGCTCTCGTTGTTATAGCACAGATGCTCCTTCCTCCCACTGCCAACTCTCTGGTCAGCCTGTACCCCCATATTATGCCTGTAACCTGTATGGCAGAGCTAAGCATTTTCATTTATGCTTCTGTTTGACTTCTTTTCCTGTCTAATGGCTCAGCCAGATCTTAATGTTGGCCTCTTTTTTCTTTTTTAAACCTTTTTCTCATCTTGACTGTCCATCTGCCCATTCCAGAATGTGCCTCCTCCAGACTTCTCCTTTTCCCACTGGTTCAGACTTGCCTGAGCCACCTCCACAAGGCTGCTATTAGCAAAGCTCGGCCTCTCCCCACTGGGGTCCACCTCCAGTTAGTCACAGAAATGGAGAGCTTCACATAACCCACAGTCTTCATTTGTATTCTGTGTCTGAATTGATATCTTCATATGGGTTTGCCGAATGCCAGAAGAATTCATGGTGAGACCCTAACAGATGGTCTCCCTACCATGTCCCATGCTCAGATTCTCCCGGCCACCCTGTTCTCACCCTGAAAGGGCAGCATCCCCTCTCAGACTGACAGACAGACTGAGGATTGACAAACCATACTCATTCTCAGTCTGCTGACTTCCTGACTTAAACTGTCCCTAGAGAGGGGGTCATAAACTCAAACACTTACAGGAGCAGGCATGGAACAATAATGGGGCATGTACAGAGTCAGGGTGTGTGCAAGCCCTGTATGAGTGATGGGGATGATGACAAATGGAAACAGGGGCCAGGGATTCACAGCTGAGCTGGAGTATTGCCATGAGGCTCAACTGCTTTGAGGCCATGGCTGGCCAAGTGTTGACAGGCCCTCAGTCTTCAGGAGAAACTAGAAAACTAGATTTTATAAAGAATCTAGAATATGGTAGAAAGGAATCCAATATATATATATGATACATGGACTCCTTCTTTGTGTGAGGCACTGTATTTAGTGATTTTATATATATATATATATATATATATATAGTCACTATATATGCATTATGTTATGTATATATTCATTATATATATAGTCATTATAT